CTTTCTACCCAGCATTCCATCTGGGGTAGACAGCAGCCCAGGTCTTGGATGGCAGAGTGGACTGGGCCAGATCCCCCCCCCCCGCCCACCCCTCACAAGAAGTCTAGGCATGTGGACCCCAACGTGGCACTTGGGGTGTGCAGTCAGGGCTGAGTGGCTAACAGGCCCACCCCCATGTCACATCCTCCCACCCGCCCCAGGATCCAGTTCCATCCCAGAAGCCCCAGGAATAAGCACAGCTTGTGTTTTTTTCCAACTGCTTACTTTGTCTTGTAAGCCTTGAAAAATGAAAGGAATGATAAAGATTTGTGGTGGGGGGGCTGGATACTGGAAAATTCTGCAGATACTGGGTAACTCACCAGGAGGGAGGCATGGAGGCTGTTTGCAAACCAAGTCTATAGAGGCCTGAGCAAATTGAGGCCCCTGGCTCCCTTTGGAGGATTAGGAGCCTAGCCCTAGGGTGGGGCAGAGGCTCATGGTCTGGTTCTGCTGTCAACCTCCTGTGGACAGGCCACTAAAGTTCCCTGGGCCTCAGTTTCCACAGCTCTGTGAGGTCAATGATGCTGACTCCCACAGCTCTGAGTTGTTGCAAGGAAGAAAGAAGAGACCTGTGAGTCAAGAGCTCCCAACAGGATGAGTCAGCTCCTTAGGGGCTTTTTCACAAAGTCTAGGAGATGCTCGATTGTCACAACTGGGAAGAGCAAGTAGTGAGATCAGACAGAGCCCAGGATAGCCCTGCCAGACAGTGACCATGCACCAGCAATGTGGGGATGGATCTTGAACATTTAGCAATACAGTGTGCTTTTTCCTGCTCTGGGGCTCTGTCTGAAGTAGAAGAGAAGGTGAGCAGGAATGGGGTGTGCTGGGAAGTAGCCAAGCTGCTCTCTACTGGCTTTCATGGAGCTGGAAGGTACTATGCATATTACCAGGCTAGTAAAGTAATAAAGTTTTACCCAGCTGTGAACCCTGTAAGTTATAGCAGTAAGTGGCCTGGGAAGCAATGTCCACTGATGCAGTAGTGGCACAAATGTTATGGCATTAACCAACCACTTTCTGATTGGATTCAAAGTCTGTTCCACAAGACAGAACCCATGTCTGGTACTGTTAACTGGGCCAAAAACCTGTGGCTGGCTAGATCATAATCCCTAGGTGAGAACTTAATACTATTATTCTGCTAAATGGATGTAGTGATAAATTGTACCCCAAGTTTTTATCTTTATACCTGTTCAACTGTCATCAGAGAAGCTTCTTTTTACAATACTCGGAAATTAATAGAGACTCAACTGGTCAATGTGCAGAGAAAAGGAGACTGTGTAGTGCTCAGCTAATGGGACATCTCTATCACACACCCTCCTCCCAAGGCTCAGGGCTCATTTTGGAAGAAGGTGAAGTAACACCGTAAGAGCCAAAGGTAGTCGACATCTATAGTGAAACAGAATTTGCAGGACATGACGGTACCATTGCACACATGAACTCACAGCAGCTGTGACTGCTTTCACAAGACCTGCACAAGATCAAGCCAGTCTGGATTTGCGGGGGGGCTTCTGAAATCCCACCACCAGCTGAGGACCTACTGACAACTGATGGCTGCTGGGGGAGGGACAGTCAAGTTTTCTTCAGGGATATATCCCCTGAGAGGCTACCCATGCTCTGGTAGGTGGTTCTCCACCCACACACATAGAGGTAACACTAAGACTCAGTGAGTTAAAAAGACATGAAGTTAGGAGGGAAAAGTAGTATGTGGGGGAACAGGGAAGGGATTAGAGAGGAGGGAAATGAGGGGGCAGATTTTATCAAAACACATATGCATGTATGAAATTCTCAAACAATTTTTTTACAAAGGAAGTAGAAGCTAGCCACTAAAGACCACATACTGTGTCACTACATGGCTGTGAAATGCCAGAACAGAGTCATCTGGATGCAGGACATGGTCGTCAGGGCCTAGGAGAGCTGGAGGAAATGAAGAGAGACTCTTAGTGGTTTCTTTTCCAGGTAATGAAAATGTTCTAAAATTGATTGTGGTGTTGGTCACGCAACTCTGAATAATATATCACACACTTTTGGAGTGCACGGTTTGATGTATCTGAATTTTAGCTCAAGAAAGCCACATGGTGTGCACTGGATGGGAGCTGGGTAAGATGTATGTGTCTGCGAGGAGCTCCAGCCTTCCATCTGTGTTAGTGAATGTTACCTTTTGGCTTTGCCTGAAGCCAGGGGTATCTGTAGGGAGGTCCTGATTAAAAGCTTAGACCATGTGAGGCACAGTGAGAGGGTGGGCCTCTTCCCTCCCTTGTTACCTAGACATTCTATTTCCTCCTGCTCTTGATGATGTAAGTGGCTGCTATGGTTCCTTGTGGCCTGGCATCATCATCATCATCACCATCATCATCACCATCACCATCATGATGCTGTCTCCCATCAGACTAGAACATCCCTAAAGATGGACCTGTCGTCCATGGGATGAGGCCCCACCTAGTGCTGAGACCTCGAGTTGGCCCTGGAGCTTCCCACCACCTGGTCCCTCCAGATATCAGCTTGTTTCCAGGAGAGTTTCTCAAAGTACTTGGTCCCCAGGAGCTAGTGGTGACCACAGGACTGAATTCCTGACCACTTGTCCAGCCAGATGGCTGCTTTCCTGGCCCTGGGCCAGAATAAGGCTGAGGTCTGGTGCCTCCCTGGGCTCAGCGCCCACCTCTGATCGGCTTCTCTTTGGGGCTGGGGAGGAACTTCCAGCCTGGCAACTGGGTCATTTCCCAGGACCCAAGGCTTCTTGGCAGGGTTGGCACACCCTGTTCTGCCCCTCAGGGGCTTGGCGCTTGTCACTGTCCTCTGCTTGGCCAAGCTACGGGACAGAATTAGCTCTCCACTCTCACTCTTGAAGCTCTCCAGGCAGTCACACCATTCCAGGGAGGGACCAGAGCAGCCTCCTGGGAATCTGCCCAAGGCTTTTTCCCTGGTTCCTCTGGGAAGAGATCCAGAAAAAGACTGAAAGCGGGGTGCTGCTGTATGTGGGGGGAAGTGGGACAGGGCCCTGCTTCACCACCAGAAGCCCCCGGCACTCTGGGAAACTGAGAGGTCTCCCTGCAGGCAAGACAGCAGTTTCTCCTCAGGGGTCTTGGGTCGGGGGCTGCTCCCAGTGTCCCACCAGTCCTCCACGTTCTTTGCTGCATTCCTGGTCTGAGGGCGAAATGCAAGTTTGTAGAAACCTCAGCAATGGTTTCCAAAAGGTCAGCCTGGAGGCAGGCCATGAACACAGAAACCCAGTGGCTGCACAAAGACAGCTCAGCAGTCAGGACTCCCACTCTGCCCCTGTCACTGCTTTCTGCCTGTCAAGATGCACCTACTCTCAACCTCTCTCCTGGGAGGGTCAGTCACAGGCACCTGCCCTGGGGAGGTTGTCCAGATAGCACAGGGGGCTGAGAGGTAGGTGTGGACACCAGGGGGATCCCACACACTGGCAACACATGTCCTCAAGGACCAAAGGAAGGAAGGTGAGGGATGGATGGGTTCTGGTGTAGTGCTTGCTGCTGGCCACTGGTGGTACCACAGAAGCCCGAGGGCTTGCAGGCCAGGCAGAGCTGGGTTTAAATTCTGGACCTGGACAAGCCTCTGCCCTGCTCTGAGCCAGTGTCCTTACCTATACAATGAGTTTGGTGATTTCCCCCTCCTAAAGGGTGGTATGAGGCAAGCCAGGCAGCTGCCTCTGTAAGGCTCCACTGGTGATGACTCCTGAGCCACCACATCCTTAAGTCTGCTTTCCTTCATCCCTGGCTGTAACTCCAACTTTTCCTCATTTGGTCTTCTTCCACAGTATGGCAGACCACCTGATCACTCAAACAGTGTAGCACTGCACACTGCATTCTGAGTCCTGCATTGGGGGTAGGCTTGATCACATGACCTGCTCTAGCCAGAAACTTGAAGATGGTATAAAATTGGACAGGCACATCTATCTCCACCTTGAGACCCCGTCTTGGATGCAGTTACGCAAAGTGAAGACACTTCTATTTGTAGGTCAAGGTTGCAGGACAGACACCTTCCCTGTCTGAAGCCATGGTGATCTGGGGTCATTTCTGGCTGAAACCCACCACCATCTGGCAGAACTTTAGAAAGTGGTCTCTCAGAGCTGTTTTCAGTCTCCAGTGACTGTGAGGAGGGCTAATCGTTGACAGTGAAAATGCCATGTGTTGGGCTGGCAGTGCCGTCTGTGCTCCATAAACTGCAGATGGGGTCACTGCTTGGTATTTCTCCAGCAGACCAGCCCGCCTTTACTGGAACCATCTCATTCTCCATGCTATGAGCTTGAGGGCTCAGCCTGAGATATGCAGATCTGTGCACCCCTTATGCAACTTTCAAGGACGCCTCCCTCTGAGTCAGAGGCCTGGGACCTCCGCCTCCCTGTCTAGGGAGCCACCCACCTCCAAGAGCTGTGTAGATACAAGGTACTCCTACTACTCCTACCTGGTCACGTTGCTTCCCTCGTCACACTGACCACAGCAACATTTACCCAGTGTGCTCAGTAAGAGCCACACCAGAGAATCCTGGGTACCTCTACCCTTTGACTAAGGCCTGACCACTTCCTCCCTCCAGACCTCCCCATTTCCCGGCCAAATGTGGTATGGGGTATGTAGTGCCCCACAGTGCTGGCCTCATAGTAATGAGCTGTCACTGTGTCTAGTGACTCACGGCGCTTTCTCCGTGATGACTGGCATTTTGGTTTCCTTCAGTAATAAGTGCATGCGGGGTAGACAGTAGGTGGTCAAGTTGGTGGATTAGTGGGGCTAAGACAGGACAGAAGGCATTCTAGCTCTCAGGAGTCCTAGTAGGGAAGCCATGGTCTGCCAGGAGGGGCCTGGCCTCTCTTTGTACCCTCAAGTTTGGCTTTGGTCTCTCTCCTGGTCTCTGAGGACTCCGAGGTAGACCCCTTCTCCCTCAAGGATGGGGCTTTGTGGTTGGGACGGGCTCCCTTCCCAGCTGTTTGCCCAAGGATCTGAACAAAGGAAGCCGAGAAAGCCACCTTTTATTGTGCATTCCTGCTGGTTAACCAGTTTGCATGAGCCGAGGATGAGTGAGTTTTGGCGGGGAAGGCAGAGCACCTGGGGGCAGACCCTCCTGGAAACAGACTATGCACCCTGCTCAGGTGGGTTAAACCAGAGAAGCAATTTAACAATAAACTCTACAGAATCAGAAATGAACAAAGTATCAAGGTGGCTGCTGCTGGCTTCTTGCCTCCCCATGGGGGTCAGTTATACCCATCAGTCCTGCGCAAAGGTCCTGGGGCTGACCTGGGAGCTGCTAGGTTCTTCCCTGGGGACAGGCATAATCCCGCTCACCCAGCGGACGTGTGCCAATGGACAGATGCGTGGCTGTGCTCCCAGGTGCTGCAGCCCCCCTCAGGCTTCACGGCTCCTGAAGTGAGTCTTCTTGCTGCTCTATGTCCGCCCCTTGAAAGTGTTCATGCAGGTGTAGGTCCCTGAGAATCTGTGGATCTCCTCCAGCGCGGCCTGTGGGAGTATGCTGAGGGGAAGAGAAGATGGTCAGTGGGGTGGGGGAAAGCAGGGGTCACTGCTTTCCCAACAGGAGTTTGGGCTATACCAAACAGGAGAGCAGAATAATGGTCCTAGACGTGCTTCCCGCCTCCTCTGTAAGCCACACACCAGCTTTCCTCCTAAACACCTCTGGGACCCGAAGAACTTACAGGAAGCAGTTAGTACTTTCACTAGGTAAAGGGCAGGGCACAGAAAGGATGGTAGAGCGGTAAGAGCTGCGTTCTTAGCATCTGCTGTGGGGTGTTGCATGTGCCCTGTCCCCTCAAAAATACAGGTTGAAACCTGATTGTCTTTGTGGTAAGACAGAGGTGACTGGGTCATGAGAGGATCTGTCCATTCACGGATTAATGGGCAGTCTGGGCAGTGGCTGTTATGAAAGCAAGTTCCTGGGCACATTTACTCTGCCTCACCATGCGATATTCTTCCATGACGTCATGAGGTCTCAGGAAAGCCCTGCCAGATGCTGACAACGTGCTCTGGGATGCGCCAGCCTCCAGAACCCCAAGCCACACATACCCCTGGTTCCTTTTTTCTAAGATTTTTAAAATTTAAAATGGGGTGAGTGTGTATGTGTGTGTGTGTGTGTGTGTGTGTAGTTGCTCACGAAGGCCAGAAGAGGGCACTGAATCTCCTGGAGCTGGAGTTGCAGGTGATTGAGAGCTATCTGATGTAGATGCTGGGAACTGAACTCTGGTCCCCTGCAAGAGCAGTTGTAGGCTCTTAATTCTGAATCATCTCTCCAGCCCTCTTAAAAAAAAACAACAAAACTCCCTCCATCTTCCTTCCTCCTCCTCTCCCCTCTTTCTGACACATTCACAGTCACTTGTGAAGGTCAGAGGACAACCAGCATGTCAGTCCTCACTTTCCACCTCGCTAGAGACAGGGTCTCTTGTTTTTTTTTCTTCTGCATATACCAGCCTAGCTGGCCTGGGAGATTCCAGAGATTCGTCTCTGTCTCCCAGTTCCCTGTATGCACATTGGATTAAGGTGCATGCTACCCCATCCAGCTTTTCATGAGTTCGGGAGATTTAAACTCAGGTCTTCATGCTTGTGTGCCATTCACTTTACTCACAGAGCCATCAACCGGCCTACACCTCTGTTCTTTACGAATTACCCTGTCTGTGGTACTCAGTTATACCATCAGAAGATAGACTAAGACAGCATCTTAGGGCCTTGCGTAATCTCAGAGATCAATCAACTCCAACAGCTGCTTGCTTCTTTAACAAAGACTTGCTAGGAGGGGCTGAGGAGTTAGGTACACTTTAGATGACACGTTCTCCAGGGAAATGTGCCGGACGCACCCATAGCCTCTCCTGGGGTAACCTAGAGCCCTTCTGCTCCTTGACTATCTGTCACAGGAGTACGTTTGTGGCAGATGTCTCATCTCTGGTCCTTAGTTCCTCTGAGACCCAGGCCTGGCAGAGTGAGGACTCCCAGTCTCTCAAGTCAAAGTACAGGCCCTTGCCCTACTCTAGGTACAGGATGGGAATGGCTTGCTCCCATGCAGGGAAATCTGGAAGGCTTCCTGGTGGTGGCTCCATAGGAGCCTTCAGAGTTTTCTCTCGGAAAAGGTCAGGAAGGGTGTGGTGTAGGATTGGGGAAGACTCTGCTGTGAGAGGAAGAAGTCAGGGACAGGACAGGAAATATATGTTGGGGCTTACTGTGCTGAGATGTTGCAGACAGACTACATTTTCATTAAATGTTACAGAACACTTCTAAAGATGTTTCCTAGCAGGGCGTGGTGACGCACACCTTTAATTCCAGTACTTGGGAGGAGCAGGTGGATGTCTGTGAATTCAAGGCCAGCCTAGTTTACACAATGGGTTCCAGGACAGCTTGGGGCTACAGGGAGACCCTGTCTCAAAAAGACTCCCCCCCCAAAAAAGATGTTTTCTAAGGTGGAGGGTGGAACCCTGGCTTCAGTGAGGACACGAGTTCCTACTCGTGTGTGTGTGTGTGTGTGTGTGTGTGTGTGTGTGTGTCTTCCTTCAGGTGTCATCATCCACCTTGTTTTGTGAGACAGGGTCTCTCACTGACCTGGAACTCACCTATGAAGCCATCTTGTCAGTAAACCCCAGAGATCTTCCTGCTTCCACCTCCCACTGCTGGGATTACAAGTACATACCACCATGCCCAGCTTCTTGATATGGGTGTAGGGACCAAACTCTGGTCCTCAGACTTGCACAGCAAGCATGTTACTAACTGAGCCATTTCGTGCCTGCTCCTGAACAGGCTTCCCGAGGCAGTCAGAGAGCCTCTTGAATTGAGGGTCAGTTCAGGATGGACTGAGGGAAGCTGGGATGGTGTGAGTGTGGCAGGTGTCCCCTCCTCGACTCTCTACTTCACTGTATCTGGTTGTAGGAGTAGAGGATAAGGGGCTGGTTACCATGGTCCCCTTAGTGTCAAGGTCCTGTGTCACAGCTAGGGGTGTGGCTTTCCTGAGAGTCATGTCTGATGGTAACAGGGGAGCTGGCCATGTACCTGGGAGCCTCACTTTCTGACAAGCAAGAGAGAGCCAGACTCATGGCCGAGGGATTCAGTTCTCCCTGTCCTGAGGCCTCTGGGCACTCTGCTGAGGCAGCTACCTGTACCAGCTCCTACAGTGTGGGACCTGGATGCACGAAGTCTGGAAAGATCTAGGGGAATATAAGCCCGAGAAGATTCTGGAGGGGAAAGTACTTCCTTTATGGAGTCTACCTCCTAAGGTGTGTGCCTTGGTAAGTCCCACCTCACTAGAACTATGCGATTTCTGCAAACTCTGAGCCTTTGGCATGAAAACCCCTTAGGGTCCGGGGATATGTCTAACAGTCTGAACAGTGGTTCTTAAAATGTGTTTTAGGAACTCTTAGGCGTTCCTGAGATTTCTTCTGGATAGTTATAATAATACAACTTCACTTGTCTTTTTTTTTTTTTTCTTTCTTGAGCCAGGAGCTCATGTATCTCAGGTTAGCTTTGAATTTGCTATGTAGCCAAAGATGACCTTATACTTCTCATCCTCCTGCTTCTACCTCTCAAGTGTCATTAATCCAGGCATACACTATCACCCAGTTTATGAACCCAGGGCTCCTGCATGCTAGGCAAGCCTTCTACCCACTGAGCTACATCTCTATCATTTGTGTTTTATTCTCTTATTTTCTCATGAACATGCAGTGGAGTTTCCTAGAGGCTAAACATGTTACTATCACCACTGGCTGAAAAGGGAAGCAGATGTAAGGATATAGTTGTCTCAGGGCTGGAGAGATGGCTCAGCAGTTAACAGCACTGGCTGTTCTTGCAGAGGACCTGAGTTCAAATTCCAGCGTCCTCATGCCAGCTAACAACTGTCTGTAACTCCAGTTCCAGGGATTCAACACCCTCTTCTGTTCTCTGCGGGCACTGCATGGCATGGATCCACTTACATACATGTAAGCAATACACTCACACATAAAATAAGTCAAAAAAGAATAAGCTGTCTCAAACTAAACCAGACAAGAGATTTACAAAAAAATGCAAACAATGCCACCCCTGACAACTGTTATTTTTCTTTCAGAAAATATAATTGCTTGTTATAAAAATATATTTATGAGCTGTCTCAAAAAAATTTTTGGATTTTTAGGCAAGCAAACAAAACAGTTACGGTAATTTAATAGTTTTGTTATTGCTGTTTATAAGTGAATAATATTACAAATAAAACTAATTTTGGTTTTTCCTCGGTTTTAATTTGCAACACAGTAAATCGTGAGATACAACTCACATAAACGACAGCTCTTTGGAGTCCTCAGTAATTTTTAAGACAGGCATGATAAATTCCAGAACTAGGGAGTCTAACACGAGAGAACTGAAAGTTCGTGGCCAGCCTATAGAGTGTGCTCCAGACCAGCCCGAGCTGCACAGTGTGACCCTGTCTCAAAAATAAATAAATACTCACAGGGCTCCTTAGACCAACAAGTGGAGAACTACTGCTACTGCCTTCTGGTCAGTACAGAACCTCAGCAGCAGAGGTGCCACTGCGCCTCATCCTGCCCCCAGCAGACATGACTAATAGATCATGTGTACTTTGTCCAGTCTGCTGCCTCTTTCCCACTAGGACCCACTGGGGGGAATGTACTTGATGAAGAGGTCTCTCCCCTCTACCCCATACCTTTTCAAGATAATGAGGATATTCATGGTCCACGGGAGCAGGAGGAGGGCCTGGTTTTGCTGCACGGCTTCCACCGTCCTCCGGGCTACCGTCTCCGGCTTCAACGGGGGGAAGAGGTTGGGAAACCTGAAGGCAGGAAGACACTGGTTTCTCCTGGAGAACCTGGCATCTCTGCTGGGAGTCTCAGCGGGTGCCAATGTGGAAGGAGGATCCCTTTGGCTCTCCTGGGTGAGGGACCCTCCCTCTCACTGCCCTCTATGTGAGGAGTCTGCAGGCTAGCAGGAGGTATCTCAAGGAAATCAAGGAATTCCAGCCTACTCTGTTGGGCTCGATCTCCAAAGCCCTCCAGGGCTCCTGGCACACTGAACTGGCTCCACACTCTGTAATCTGGGCCCTGACGAGCTCTGACGGTTTCCTCCCTCCTCCCTCTGTTTGAGCAGCACAGGCCAGCCTGTCTGGACCAGCTGTCCCTAATGGCTTGGGTCACTCTTCCCAGTCGCTCCTCAGGGAGATCTCTCAGCCCCCACCGACCCCTCAGTGGTCTCTAGCCTTAAATTCATGTCAATTGCCTGCACTGATCACTTCTACAATGGCCTTGCTTATTGACCGCTTCCTTGTCAAGGGCCCATCTCCCCCACGAGACTACGAGCTCTACAGGGGTGCTGGCCCAATGAGTCTCAGTCTCACTCTCTGTTGCATCACTGGCATCTAGCAGTAGCTGGTATACAGTAGGTGCTCAATAAATATTTCTTGTTCCCCTTATACATCTCTACTCCTTGGGTCTGGAATCAGGGGCTGTGTGCTGGGCAGGCCCTTGGCATGCTGGTTCACTTACTGTTCATTCATTCATTGACTCACTGACTACAGAGGTCAAACCCAGAAGACTTCAATAAGAACAAACCATCAAATCCACAAACAGCAGGACTGTCCCATGCCCATTCAGAGGCATCTGACCCTGGACCCATGCAACCATGGTATTCCCTAAGTCTGTGGCCTGCACATGAATATTCTCTCTCGTTCATGAATAAGGAAACAGAGGTTCCCCTGGAGGACTGGGGCCAGCAAGGCCCAGGAGTGAGCTCCAGGCCACTCTCCAGTGACAGCTCTTCCTACCCCTCTTTGGTTTAAAGGAATGGACTCACTTCACAGGCACATGCTGCCAGCCCTGACCTTTGTCCAACAAAGGGCTTGTGATTGGCTCTGGTACCGGGAAGATGAAGGGTGGTGAGTCACCAGGTCTGATGCCATTCCTGAGCAAGGGGCACCCCTGCCACTCACGGACCACGCCCTTCCCTGCACCTTCTTCACTGCCCTAACAATGCTGCTTTAAAAATTTTGTTTCGCTGGGTATGATGGTGCACACCTTTAATCCCAGCACTCGGGAGGCAGAGGCAGGTGGATCTCTGTGAGTTGGAGGCCAGCCTGGTCTACATAATGAGTTCCAGGTCAGCTGGGGCTACAAAGGAGACCCTGTCTCAAAAAGACCAAAAAAAATTTTTGTTTCTTTATTTGTGTGAGTGTGCAAGTGTGTATGTGTTCATGTGCACAGGTGTGGAGGACAGAGGTCAGCCTCAGGTATCACTCCTCAGAGCGGTTCACCTTGTTCTTGAGACAGGGACTTTCATTGGCCTGGGGCTTCCTGACGGCTACACTGGCTGTTCAGCAAGCCCTAGGAACTGCCCATTCTAGTTCCCCAGCACTGGGATTACAAGCACAAGCTACCATGCCTGGCTTCTTATTTTTTCTTTTTGAGACAGGGTCTCCTTGTATCCCCAGTTGGCCTGGAACTCACTGTATAGATCAGGCTGGCCTTGAACTCACAAAGGCCTCTGCCTCCCAAGTGCTGGGATTAAAGGCGTGTGCCACCACGCCCGGCCTAGCCTGGCTTTTTTATATGGGTTCTGGGGTTCAAACTCAGATCCTACTTTACTAACTAGGCTCTCTCCCCAGGCCACAACAGGGCTTCTAAGAAGCCCCTGAAGGGCTGGCCTTGGATTCTGCAGGGAGGCGCATGCTGAGACAGCTTACAGATGCTGGAACCTAGTGCCAAGTGGCTCATCTACTGTCTCCAGCCTCCACTTGTGGCTGGCACTGCTTCTTGAGGGATGGGAGAAAGGGTGGGAAGACCCAGCTTCACAGGTTTTGGGGTATTCTTCTTGGAGGAGCCTTAAGTCTCTAGGGATTTTCCCTTTTCTCTCTTTGGTGGGTAGGATGGTGACCAGGAACCCTGGGAAGTGGCAGACAGCAAGCCTGTAGAAGCAGAGGGAAGTCAGAAAAAGTCTGCTCCGCTAACCAACTTCCGGCTGTGTGGTCTCTGGGAGGTGCCTGAGACTCTCTGAGCCTCAGCTCTCTTATCTGTAAAATGGGGTTAGAGCTCATTTGCAGGGCTTCTGGGAGGGCCAAATAGAGCAGTATAGTCAAGAGAACAATGTCTGGTGGTGTGGCTGGAACACAGACCAAGTCAGCAAACACGTCTACAAGCAGGAGCACCCACAGATAAGCCAGCTTGCTGCGTGGCCCCTGCTTCTGTCCTAACCAGGTCCTTGACCTTCACTTCCTGAGAAACAACTAAGACAACCATAGGACAGAGCCAAGGCTGTTCGACTTTTCTTTTTCTCTCAATGAATGGGAGCTGCTTAAGCATATGTCTTCCAGGTCTGCTCTTCCGGCCAAGCCCTAGGCACTGGCCTGCACAGCCACAGGTAGCTAATATCTACCTAGTGCTCACTAAGGAGGCATAGCTAGTCAATACTCACACAGTTGCTCACTCAACTTATAAAGTCAGGGTTAGAAATCACTTTAAAAAATAAAAACAATCGCCAGGCGTGGTAGTGCACGCCTTTAATCCCAGCACTAGGGGGGCAGAGGCAGGCAGATCTCTGTGAGTTCAAGGCCAGCCTGGTCTACGTAGTGAGTTCCAGGACAGCTGGGGCTACAGGAAGACCCTGTCTCAAAAAGACCAAAAAAACACCAAATTATATATACACAATCAAACTGAGGCACAGAAAAGTCAAGTCACTTATCCAAGGTCGCACAGAACTGGGATTTGATCCCAGGCCATTGGCACGTACACTGAACCACTAAGGAAAAATGCTTTGAGGGTACCTTGACTTAGAGTGGAGAATCAGGAAGATGCTGAAGGGTGAAACAGATGTGTGAGCACTGTGACCATCTCAACCTCTTCAGTGCTCAGGTTGTCCAATTAAAACCAGATTGCCACTGATGCACTTGTGTTGAATGTACATTTATTGAATGCCTCTTATATACTAAGATGGAAAGAAACCATACCAAGTATGTCCTGGAGGTCGGGGGGATCTACCATGGAACATTCATATAGTTATGAGCCTCCTCTAGGTTTTGAATTTATGACAATTTGTTTGCAAGCCAAGTAGAAATATTTGGATGATATCCTGGAAGAGATGATCTACTAGGAAAATTAGTAACATGCAATTATGAAGATGTTTATTCTTGGTAACAGTAACAAGAGCCTGGTGTAGTGGTGCCTGTCATCCCAAGCACTTGGGAGGCTAAGGCAGAAGGATTATCAAGAATTTGAGGTCAGCCTGGGCTAGAGATGAGACCCTGTCTCAAAATAAAATAAAGTAAAATGAATAAAGTAACAAAGGTATCTCTTTTCTGAGCAACTTGTGTGAGAGCTTTGTGTTAGGTATGTCACACATATTATCATTTGTAATTCTCCCAATAATCCTATGAAGTAAATATTATTTCCACCATTTTACAAATGAGCAAATTAAAGCTCTGAGAGGCTACAAAACTCGCCCATCGTTGGGTATGTAATACGTACAATACGGTGTTCCACACTAGTGCCATATTTTACCCTCACTGCCTATGATGTCGGTCATCACTCCACAGATCAACCTTGAAAAGAAGACATCCTGCAGCATGTCACAGCAATAACAGGTACCACTCCAGGTGCCTGACTCCCAAGCAAGAATGCTAGGCCAACAGTCACACTCTGCTTGATGGAATGGGTCTGCAGGAGGTGTGACTGGTGGGCTTGGGATTTCTTTACAGGGAGCTATAATTGGCATTTATTAATTTTAAACATTTATTAGTCTCTGTGGGGGGGGTAGGTGGGTGTGAGTGCCTCTGTGTGTGTGTGGAGGTCAGAGGACAACTTGCTGGAGTCAGTTCTCTCTTTCTACCATGTGGATCCTGGGGATCAAGGCCACCGGTGAAGGTAGAGCCTCTGTAGCTATGGAAACCTTGGGATACTGGAGATGCCAGGACCGTCGATGTCTGTGAAGAACAACAGGTGTGGAGTGGAACTGGCCTGAGCCTACCAGACAAGCTGTGTGTGTGTGTGTCTGTGGAAATTTTTTAAAAGACTAGACTTTTACAAGTTAAACTGTGAAAGCTGGGCGTGGTGGCACACGCCTGTAGTCCCAGCACTTGGGAGGCAGAGGCAGGCGGATCTCTGTGAGTTCAAGGCCAGCCTGGTCTACATAGTGAGTTCCAGGACAGCTGGGGCTACAGGGGAGACCCTGCTTCAAAAAGAAAAAAAAAAAAAAAAAACTGTGAAAAAAAAAGTTGGACTGTGTTGTATATTGTGATCCTCACAGGAGATCTTGGGGACAAGAAATGAAAAGGGTAAGGTTTACAGTGACATGCTGTGTGTCAACGTTGACAAGGGGGGATTGCCATAGCAATTTTTCGTCAACTTGGCACAAACTTAGAGATAATTAGAAAGAAGGAATCTCAATGAAGGAATTGTCTCTATCAGACTGGACTGTGGGCATATCTGTGGGGCATTTTCTTCACTGTGGATTGATGTCACAGGGCCCAGCGTACTGTGGGCAGTACTATCCCTGGGCAGATGGGCCTTGGCTATATAGGAAATGTAGTGAGCAAGCCAGTAAGCAGTGTTCCTCCACGGTCTGTGCTTCAGTTCCTGCCTCCAGGTTCCTCTCGGGCTCCTGCCCTGACTTCCTTCAGTGATAGCGTATGACCCGGGACATGTAAGATGAGATAAACCCTTTATTCTCCCAAGTTGCTCTTTGTCATGGTTTTTTATCATAGCAGCAGAAAGCTAACTGGGATGGGGGTCAGTCACTGACCTGGTCTCTAGCACCACAACCAGTTTACTTGCTTCATAATTTCCTGCTCACGGGATCAGGCAGAGTGGGCTGGTCTGGCTTCTTTCACTTGCTATCATGGACATCAGCTTCACTATACAGCTCGTGGTTTCCTTTTTTGCTGTTGGGTAGTAGTCTACTGCACATATTCAGTACAGGTGTTTTGCATAAGCTGCAGCATCAGGAAGTAGGACCTTAACTCACCCATGATGGTTAATCTTGCCAACTTGATAGGCTATCAAATCACCATGGAAACTGACTTGTGGGTCTGTCTATGAGAGTGTCTGGATTGTGTTAAATTGAGGTGGGAAGACCCACTCTAAATGTGGGCGGCACCATCCCATGGACTGGGGTCCTGGACTGGATAAAGAAGAGGAAGCGAGCTAAGCACCAGCATCCGCCTTTCTCTGCTTCCTGACTGCAGATGCCATGTGACCAGCTGCCTTGTGCTCTGCCGCCATGCCTTCCCTCCATGATGGACTGCGTCCCCAAACTGTGAGCCCAAACAAACCCTCCTTTAAGTTGCTTTGGTTAGGTATTTGTCACAGCAGCTGGAACAGTAACTAATATACTGTGGTAGCATCCCGTGTGTTGAGGATGGACAATGATTAACGAAAGGACCAGGCCATGGCCAAGGGCTTCTAGGGTCTTCTAGAGTGTAACTCTTCCCGTGCTGACCACTGGATGGGTTGGCTCAGGAGAGGTGGCTGGTCTCCCCCACTGACCTGACTCTCATGCCCTGAAACATCTCGGTGCTGGTGTGGAAGGGCAGCACGGTGGTGGCGCCGACACCTGGACAGTCCAGTAGCCCCAACGTTAAGCTCTCCATGAAGGCGAAGGCCGATGCTTTCGATGTGCAGTAGTCGATGGCGCCGGGAATGGCTGACAGTGCGAGCACGGAATTGAGGCACACGATGTGGCCGTTCTGGAGCTCCAACATACGTGGCAGGAAGGCCTTGGTGGTCTGAGGGTGGACAGGGGGGTCAACATGAAGCAGTGAAGCCCTTCCTTGGGGAGAATAGCCCATCCTGGATGCACGGCTACTCTGGGACGGAACCTTCCAGCAAGGAGGGGCTGCTGGCACCCTGCTTCCAGACACTACGTTCCTATGCCTCCAAGGTCAGTCATTCCTCTTGTCTAGCCGCTTTGCCTTTGGTCACCCCTGATGGCCTGAGCCCCAGTCCCAGTGGACCTCTCGCTCCACCCCTGCCCTATCCAGGCTCCCTGTCATGCTCTTGGCTGGCTCTGGGCCAGGCCTGCCCTTACCCAGAATTGGCCCAGAGTGTTGATGTGTTGGGACTTGAGGAGGGCGTCATCGTCACTGTCCATCAAGCTCTTCCCATGGACCACGGCGGCATTGTTCACCAGGATGGTGATGTCACCCACCTGTGGGCAAGAGGGGGCGATGGAGCTGTGAGGGCAGCCAGCCTACAGGGGTACGGACCCAGTGGTCCCTCAGCCGCCAGCTGTGTGGCCTTTCTGAGCATTAGTCTTGTTCATAAATGGTACTGGTGCCGTACCAGCTATGTCTGAGGATTAGAAATAATTAATGGCACATACTATACCCAGGACACAGCATACTTAAAATAAATGAGGTTATTGTTGCATAGAAATACCTAATACCATGAGCAGGTTATGTGACAGTCTTTTGGTGGGCAGTCTTTTTGAGACAGGGTCTCCTTGTATCCCAGCTGGCCTAGAACTTGCTAGTAGACATGATTGGCCTCCCTCTCAAGAGATATCCACCTGCCTCTGCCTCCTCAGTGCTGGCATTAAGAAGTCATGTGCCACCATGCCTGGCATCAGGGTAATTTCTTTTTCTCTTTTGGAGCTCACTGATATACTCAGCCCAAATGGCTTGAATTAGGGGAAGGATTTTCCCAGAAGGCAATGGGACATTTGCCCCTCTTGGTTTAGAGAGAAACTCAAAGGGTCCTAATGTCCGATGGGACCAGAGAGGACTAGATTTGTTGTGCCATCAATCCCAGTCCCTGCTCAAGTAGCTTGGGCCAGTTTCATGGAGAGTCCCCAAAGGTGCCCTGTACAAAGCCAGTCTGCCATAGCAATGCTTCCTCCCAGCCCACATGAATGTGTTCTTTGCCCAGCGTGACCCTGCATTCAGTATGCCAGGGACAGATGCTCCTGAGCTACTGACCTTCTCTCGGACAGCTTTGGCCGTCTGGTATACCTCCTCCCGGTTACCCACGTCACAGATGAAATAGTGGCACTCTGTGCCCATCTGCCGAATCTCCTCTGTTGTCTCCTTCAGGCATTTTTCAGTTCGGCCCCAGAGAACAATCTGGAAAGAGAGAAAAACAGCATAGAACAAGTGGTCTTGAAGAAGGCCGGAGTTATACACAATTGATTTCAGAAACTGAATAGTCTTTTAAAATATTTGTTATTTTTGAGACAGGGTCTCCCTGTAGCCCCAGCCATCCTGGAACTCACTATGTAGACCAGGCTGGCCTTGAACTCACAGAGATCCGCCTGCCTCTGCCTCCCGAGTGCTGGGATTAAAGGCATGTGCCACCATGCCCATCAAAAAAATATATTATTTTAATTTTTATGTGTATGAGTGTTTTGCCTGCATGTATATAAGTGCACCTGTGTTATGCAAAGCCCACAGAGGCCAGAAGAGGGCATTGGCTCAGCATCAGATCCCTTGGAACTGGTGATGGTTGTCAGCCACCATGTGAATGCTGGGAATTGAACCTGGGTCTCCTGGAAGAACAGCAAATGTTCTTAACCACTGAGCTGTCCCTCCAGCCCCCGAAATTTCATAGTCTTTAAGATACTGACCTCCTTGATTCCATCCCCAAATAAAGTATGTAAAGCAATTAACAATGAATTTGAAGTTAATCACTATAATTGCTATTGTTATTGGTGTATGTGTGGGGGTGGGGCAGAATGCCACAGTGCACCTATGGATGTCAGAAGACAGCTTTCAGGGTTGAGAAGCAAGTTCTTTTTTTTTTTTTTGATATTTTATTTATTCATTTTATGTGTATGTGTGTATTGCATGTAGGTAAGTGCACCTGTGTCGTGCAATGCCCGAGGACAGAAGAGCCTGTCAGATGCCCTGGAACTGGAGTTACGGACAGCTGTTAGCTGCCATGTGGGTGATGGGATTCGAACCTGGGTCTTCTGCAAGAACAGTCAGTGTTCTTAACCACTGAGCCATCTCTCCAGCCCCGAGCAGCAAGTTCTTTTACCCACTGAGCCATCTCACTAGCTCCAACGATAATTTTCTTTTTTAAATGTGTGTGTGTATGCTCATGAGTACAGGTGCCCTCAGAGGCCAGAAGAGGGTGTCGGATCCTCTGGAGCTGGAGTTACAGGTGGCTGTGAGTCACCATGTTGGTGCTGGGAACTAGAGTAGGGTTCTCTGAATATTGAGCTATTTTTCCTGCTGGAACAATGAAAAAAGCAACACCACTTACTCTTAATTAAGTGATTCAGCTGTTTCTGAGGACACTTTTTTCCCTTGGTGCCGAGGCCTGACTCAGGGCCTAGTAAACACCCTACCATTAAGCTAAATCCCCAATCCTACTTTTTTTTAAAAAATATTTTATTATTTTCATTTTATGTGTATGAATATATTACCTGCATGTATGTGAGTGCACCTGTGTCATGCAATGCTGTGGATGTCAAAGAGGGCTTTGGATTTCCCTGGAACTGAGCTAAGGATTGTTTGTAGTTGCCATGTGGGTGCTGGGAATCGAACCCAGGTCCTCTGCAAGGTCAGTGTTCTTAACCACTGAGCCATCTCTCCAGCCCCCCCCTGCTTTTTTTTTTTTTTTAAAGATGGGGTCTCATGATGTAGGCTTGCTGGCCTAAAACTCTCTATCTAGACCAGGCTGGTCTCAAACTCATAGAGAGTCACCTCTCTCTGCCTCCTGAGTGCTGGGATTAAAGACATGTGCCATCATGCCTGACATGAGTGTACTTATAACCAGTTGGTATGTTAAGCCCAAGTCTTTCTGACATGTTCTTCCCAGCAAGATGCCTCTTGCCAGCCCAGTTCCAGCCTCTTCCTTAATTCTTAGAGGCAATAGCAAAGTTCTTTCTGTACAATGTTCCAGAATGTTCTCTGTTAGGAACCAGCTGGCCTTCTCCCCAGTTATATTTAAAGCTGGGATTATTCATACCAGCCTTTAGGAAGGATAAGGGAGCTCCCTCTCTCTGCTAGACCACAGAAGCCATCCAGGGCTCCCACCTCACTTTGGTTACACTGCGAAGGAAGGATGCAAGGGAGGACAGGAAAGGGACATCCAGGCTCCCAGTGAGAAGGTAACACATCCTTACCCAGCAGGTACTAAGTGCAGGACCAAGTGACCTTGACAGGATCTGTAAATGGGTACTTAGAGGGGCTGGACAAATTTATGACTGGTCCTCAGAAGGCTAAGAATTGAAGTCCTGACTAGACAGAGGGAAGACTGGGGAGCCCCACCACTCAGGGGACGAGCATGTCTGCAACACAGATCTGTTTCTTTTCTGTCTAAAACCCCAGTGCAGGCTGGCTGTCACCCTGAGCCCCTGTGATTTTCTCAGCACAAATCAGTTTGCATATGCTCTGTCAAAGGGATCCTGGGTACTCCACAGCTCCAGAGGAATGAACGCTGGCTGGTTCTTGGCAGGCGAGGGAGAGTCAGGGTCTAAAGCTCACCATGTCCTGCCCAGAAAACCTGCTGTCAGGAACTCTGGAGACCAGCACTGTCAATTAGGCCAGAAGACCACCCAGGAGAGGGGGTGGGGCAGGTGGTGGGACGAGGACCACAGTCAGGATCTGGGTACTGTTGAGGTCGCCCCTACTGGGCTGAGGAAGTGGCCCCAGGACTCTCCATGGCAGAGTGCCTCTCTGCTTTCTTGCCCCCTACTGGGTGCCTGGACCCCCCCCAGGACCCCCCCCAGGACCCAATTCTGTCGGGTTTATTTTAGTACCTCAGTACTGACTGAGGCAATATACTGATGTGGCGTGAATGAACAAATGTTAGGGCCAAAGTTGGCACAGTGTGGGTGGGCATTCAATCACCTATTTAGGTCGAGAGGCTGTCCAACCTTTGTGGCTGAGCTATCTACGGCCTCAGAAACTTCCACACATGAGAATGTGAGGACTAGGAGTCAGTGGAGTCTGGGTTTCCTAGAGCATCCAATCTGGCAACACTGAGCTGAGGGGAGGCTTGCAGGGGTTGGACTGCACAATTGAGGTGCTAGGCTTGGTGTTGGCTGAAGGTGAGCTGTAGGGCCCAAGTGCACAGGACTCTGCATCTCTCTGGACTAATCTCTGTGCCTGTAATGGGTGCTTGTCTGTGTCTGTGAGTGTTAATGTCTCTGAGTGTGTGCAGCATTTGCATGTTGTAAATGTTTGTGTGTCTGTAAGTATACAGGTGTGTGTCTGGCTATGCATGTCTGTGTGAGCGTATCTGTCTGCAAGAATAATCTGGAAGCGGGCAACTGTGAGCAGGCATCTGTGTCTGTGAGCATGAGTCTACATCTGTGAGCCTGGGTCTATGTTTGAATGCACTCTACATCTGTGTCTGAGTGTGCATCTGAGAACAAGCACATATCCACAAGTGTGCATCTGAGTGTGTCTGAATGTGCTATACACCTGTGTCTGTGAGTATACATCTGAGCATCTGTGAGTGTACATCTGTGCATCTGGAAGCAAGCACATATCCACAAGTGTGCATCTGAGTATGTCTGAAAGTGTGTACACCTCTGTGTCTGTGAGAGTGCATCTGTGTGCCTGTGAATAAACGTGCATCTGTGTGTGTCTGGGCACAAGTGTGTTTGTTAAGCATGCTCTGTGTGCATGCATTCGTGAGCAGGGCTCTATGTCTGTCTAAGTGTGCATCTATGTGTCTAAGCAAAGGTGTGCATCTGTGAGTGTGCATGGCCTGTGTGCTGGTGTCCTCAGATCCTCTGGTGAATGCACACAGGTCTTGGGATGGGACGGGCACCCCTTGTCCTCTGTCCTTAGGATCCAGCTGCAGCTCCATGGTCATCAAGGCTCTGCAGTGGTGTAGGAGAGGGATGTGGGCACAGTACCCCCTGGCTGGTGCTGCTCTAGTCACTGGTTCCTCTTGGAGCCCCTGCCAGACCCCTCAGAGAATCCGAGTCACTGGCAAATACAATGCAGGAGGTCTGCCCAGGTGACTCTATCAGAATCCCCTGGGGTGACCTTGACGGCCGATAGGTCCCACCCAGGGCCAGGTCAAGATGGGGCTGGGCAGGTGTGTGTGGAATTTGGAGGACAGATAGGAGCCTGAGGAGGGACTGGATTTGAGCCCTTGGAAGTTGAGCCTCCTCTTAACCAGGAACAGGGAGCAGCTGGCAGGGTCAGCACTAGGGGCTCTATACTTCCTGGTCTCCTGTCCCCTGTGGGGTTAAATAATGAGCTTCTAGCCCCTTTCCCTCTTAGGACAGGTAAGCCAGAGAAGGGGAGGGAAAGGTAACCTTTGTCCCCAGTTGCAGACTGTCAGCTGGGGCCTGAGGGGAAGGTATAGTATAGTCCTCCCTTCTTAACCCTGCTACCTTGTTAGCCTCAGCTGCTTCAAGCCCTTCTCAGCCTTAGTGGACCCCATCACTCACTTTCAATAGCTGGAAATTATAGCTCAAAGTAGTTAAATCAGGTGTCCAAAGCCATCCTCTGTGGGTGGCGGAGGCAGAATTCGAACCCAGGGCCTACCCTCTGCATGTATAGCCCTGAACCCCCAAGGCTTGGTGGGATAGGATAAGCTTTGAGGACCTGACTCCAAATCCCCGTGTCCAGTGCTGGTGTCCATTCCCAGAAACTCCTTTCTTGTGCCTCACCCAGCTAATCTCCTCCACCACAACCTCATCTATCTACCTACCAGGCCAGGCAGCCCTAACTGGGTGAGGGCCAACCCAATGCTGGGACCCAAAGGAACTAAACAGCCGTGACTCCCACCCCAGGAGCCCCAGGTCTGGGAGGAAGACCTGGGAAATATCAGTTACAGACGAGGGTGAGTGATAAGAAGCAGGAAGGGAACCTCAGCTTTCAGGAGCTGGCCCCGCATGACCGTCTCACAAAGGAAGCTGCAGCTCAGCATCTGAGCATCTGAGGCCATAAGGCTGGCATTAGGAGAGCAGGGCTGTCTGGTTCAGAGCACAGATGGCTGAGACAGCACTGCCATTCACTCTCGGCAGGAGAAAACTCATTCCCAGGGCTGGGGTGGAGCTCCGTGGTGGAGTGCCAACCTAGTATGCGTGAGGCCCTGAATTCAGCCCCAGGCTCTGAAAACACAAATAAAGGAACGACACAACCTGGTCCCCTCT